GCGTGGAGACATTCAGATTTGGTGCGGTAGAGGAAATAATCGCGCAAAACCATATCAAAATAGAAATCACCCGCTCGGTGGTGAAAAGGTTCGCAACAACAAGGGATATCGTAAATACGGGGGATCTCCCAGACGTGAGAATTGCCTCGCAGGTGATATTATACAGGCATTGATCTCCACGGTCACTATGTCGCCTATATTAGCACATATTAAGTGTTTTTGATGTGAACAAGGGCATCATCTTCAGGATTATGCGCTTGCAAAGGATATACCATTAATTACAATAATACACGCTCCAGTTGTCCCAACTACAACAAAAGATACAACTATATCTACGTCTCTGAAATCCGATGACACCGCACGAATTAAGGTTGACGATAAACCTGATGATAAAATCGCAACCATCTGCGTTTTCCACGATAGTGCAATAGACATCGATAAGTATCTGGATGCAAATGATCCAGCAAAGTGACAACTATGGGTAGGTTCCTCTAAAAGGGATAAAATATATATCTATATATATTATATTAAAACTAATACATTGAAATATGTACACTCTCGGTTCGGATCCTTCCATGTTAAAAACGTCTAAGAGGATAATGATCTCTTGCTACACATAAATATGTTTTAAATATTCGTAAATCATCTCAAGCGAAGAAAAGAACAAAACTTACCAAAACACTGTCACCAGTTTCGGGATTAGGTGGTATTATGAATTCAACATACACAGCTATTATGAATTCAACATACACAGCCACTATCAATTTCCTATTACAAAAGCAGAGTTTGAACATATGTTCCGAGTGGTTGATAGACAGAGGATACTTGGAATAGATTGGTCACATCCGGTCGTGAAGATTGATAACTAAGAACAGATAGCTTTGTATTTACATAATGGCGCTATCAATCAGTATGACAAATTTACGCCTCCTAAAGCTGCAAATGAAAATTACAAGTTCAAACGCAATAGAGTTCGCGGACCTGATGTACGTGTAGCTGACCACTACACAATACCACCGTTCACTTCAGCTGTTGTTTAACTGAGAGTTGACGGCAACACCATTGACATGTTACCTACATATCTTTTCATCCCATCCGAGGATGCGACAAAGTTTACAGTACCTTCTTTAGTTGAGGGTACTAATCGGAAAGGTCATTTCAAAACCATCATCACCAATACTAGCGACGATACACTATATCTGTATAATATAGTTTGCGAAACTTAAGAACAAATTGAATCATTTTAATTATGTCGAGCGTTTCATCCTGATCAGGCGGATGCAAGACTGCTCGTTTCATAACATACATCTACTACGGAGACAGATTCTCATACTTTATCTAGAGAACAGATAGTACCATATGAATACAAACACGCTGATAATTTGACTGAAACACCTAAAACAAAAATTCAAAGTTGAAGAGCTGTTGTTCGAGTATTACGATTTATTCAACCACTCGCCTGATGATCATCGTTTTCTTAATCAAGCGCCCGTTCAGTACTTCTCGCACCACGAGACCAACGAATACAGATTGACATACAAACCAATGGCATCGCATACAATGCACTAGTAGACTCGGGCGCGCAACGCTCATGTATGGACAAGAGTATAGTAACTGAATTGAATCTCTCTGTCAGAGCGCAACCGGGCTACTTATAACTAGCATAAATAGATACAAGAATACAAAGGACAGGGTCAACCCAAGTGTGTGGCATTAAGTATGGAGGTAGAGAACCCTCTCAGTGCTTTGAATTATTTGATCTACCAGACAAGAAGGCACCAATACTTCTAGGTGTGGTCATTGTACCATACATAAGCGTATACATAGCGGGATAAATAAATCCACTTATACCAACAGATGCAAAATGGGAACCACTACTCACTCCACATGAGGATGACCCGGAGCATGAACAAAAAAGTTTCAGAGAATCATTGTCAGATCTCCTAGACACAAATGCAAACATACATCCTGACGTACATTCTAACATACCAGGCTCTACAGTCACAGTACCTGCAAATGAAATTAATGTCAGACAAATGAGGCATGCCAAAGTCAACTTTGTACCTCACACGTATGTTCCGCCAACAGATGAAAACGTACATAGGTGGCTTACAGATGGTATTAGAGTGCAATGTAGTAGACTTTAAATTAAGTGCAAATATATGTATTTATTTCTGACCTCACCTTTGGTTTTATACTCAAAGTGTTTGTACTAGTGTTCAGCCTCTTGGCGTGGCCAGAGTAAAAACTCATATAGTCAGTATGAGAAACTTTATGCAGAACACTTTAACACTTCGATGCTATTCTATTTCGACTTTTCTGCAACAAAATCCCACGCTGATCACATGACGCCTTTCCATATAGGTTGTGACTCGCAAAGAACAGCAGCTATTTTTACAATGTTGCGGTTGACAGACTTAATCCACTCTCGGGAGTTTGTTGAGGAACTTAATCTGCTCACTCTCGGGAGTAACTTAAGCAACTTGATTAGCTCTCCGGAGTGAGCTAACTCTGATGGCTTCCATAAATCAAAGAGGGTTTCTTGTTGTAAAATCTGGCCTGAGACTTGTAGTCTCTCACTCCCCCTCAATTATATCACTCCATTTGGTTGCTTTTGATAGGGAAACATATGCTTGCACTTCGGCGAAGCAATCATTGAGATCAGTTACTACTTCATACATTGTTTTTCCTTAGCCCTTGAGCCGACAAGTGTTGTATTGGAAATTTTATCAATTGAAACCCTTTTTATTGGAACTGCTACCACTATATTCCTCACTTAGCTCTATACCTAGTATTGTCAGTCAGGTGTAAACCATAAGATATTCATGGTATAATTATTGAATATCCCTACTATTCCATTTGTCAATCCGTCTCTTTGTGAATAATTTGATGAGCGCAATCTTCGTACTGTGGTTGAACTTTAGATCCAGAGGCAAGTTTTGTAATAAAGCATACATATGTCATATTATCGCTCCCTACTTCTGATATGTTAATATAAGCTAATCTCAAACGGGGGTTTCTTGCATTCACTTTTAGTATTCCATATAGTAATAACGGTAGTGTAATTTCTGCAGTGCTTGACTTTCTGTACAGTCCAAAATTATAATTATCCTCCTTTTCACAATTTTTTTTTTGCGAATAAAGTATTGCGTCTTTTTGAAGTACACATCGTCTGGATTGGATTTAAGCTTATCATTCTAACCTCTATAGTACCTCGTGGGCTTTGCCTAGAAATTTGAAACGTAAATTTTAAATATTGCTAACGCTTTGAAGTCTAGGCAGCGATTGTTCAACAAGTTAATGTTTATTATTTCATTTTATTACTCCTATAAATAAACGCATTTGTTTTTCTGTTGCACTCTTTGAAGTTTATTGTACAAGTATTTCTTATTTACTATCAGGATGTGATATACACGACGTTAATACTCATAGAATTCAATAAAAACAAACTGTAACTAATTAATGTTACATTAATCAGTTAAGAACAATCATTCCTAGCGATTGTCCAATATAGTCAATCACTTGGGAACAATCGTTCCTATCACTTGAGAACAATCATTCCTATCACTTGAGAACAATCATTCCTAGCGGTTGTCCAATATAGTCAATCACAGGAAAAGTATATTTAAAAAAATGATAATTTAAAAATATAAAAAAGTAATAAACTCTTTGCAAAATGAGAAAAATCATCCATCGCATTCATTTTAGTGCGAATTAATAGTATTGCAACTGCTTGGGAGCAATTAATTAATTCATCCGTCCGTTATAGCTCAGATCAAAAGTAAAGTAAACGAACGAGGTCAACTGTCCATTGTAGTGATTCATTTCAAGAACGTCTCATGCAGACAACGAAAGATAATCTCATACATGTTTCATAGATACATACTAAGAAAGCTAAGATATATAAAATCATTACTTATTGCTAGCATCCCTTATTACCGAATCCTTTATATACTCGTCCCATATGGACAATCTATTAAGTGATGAAGAAGTTCGTAGCCAATATTACCCATTGCAAATACCATGTGTAGCCAACCAATAGTAGTGTAATTTTGAAAGCAATCATCATTTACAGTCGTCTCATTATTAATAGCTAACTATAAGTTTAGAAAACGAAAGAAGGCATGTTCCCATTGTCACATCCCATATGTCACCAGTGAATAGTGTTTATATGTATTGAATTGAGAAAATGCATCCAATGCACGTGCCCCGTGTAGTCATTCAAAAATAAAGTCGACAATCGTGAACAATAATCCATATATGCCCAATAAATTGTATGACAATTGATTACGACTGCAGTAAACCTAAACTCTAAACTCTAGACATAGTAAAACTCTGAGCCAAATCCTTTATAATCGTCTCATTTAGACATTCTATTCAGTGATGACGATCGGAGCCAATATTATCCATTACAATCAACTATGTAGCCAATCAATCGTAGTGTAATTTCGAAAGCAATCATCATTTACATTCGTCCCATGAATAGCTAACCATAAATTTCGAAAACGAAAGATGGCATCTATCCATCGTCACATCCCATATATCCCCAATGAGTAGCGTTTATGTGTAGTAGATTGCAAAATAAAGTATCTGATGTCCCATGTAGACGTTCAAATGTAAAGCCGACAATCGTGAACAATATTTCGTATATACTCGATAAATTGTGTAATTTTTTATTTCAACCGGCACACATACAAATTCAAGAGCTATATTTTTAAAAATAAATAAAAGAAAAACCCTAAACCCTATCCGAAACAACATGGAAATCTAAAATCCAACTTCTAAACATGGTAGAACTTTAAACTCTGAGCCCCAGCAATCTGCCACTCGCTGATCAGAATGTGGAAGTATGGAATTTTGGTTGGTAATGTTTGATCTAATTATAGACCTTTTGACCGGTTTTTATACTTGTAGTAGTACAACGCAGTCTGGTTTTCGCTTTTACGATTGTGTAAAATAGCAACTTCTTTAGGTAGTGTTTAATCTTTTCCGCCGGTAATTCAAAACTTGTAGGTGTCAAACCCCCCAGTCTCTCCTTCGCTTATTAGTTTGTGTAACTCATCAAACCTCTTTTGATTCTCCGTGATCTTCGCTTCACTCTCTTCCACACGCTTTGTGAGCTCTTCCATTAGCTGCAGAAATTGTGGTTTGTAAGGAATGTGAATTAGGACCATCACATGTGAGGAATCCGAGTCCAGGCTATGGGAATGGAAGGAACTTGTAAAGAATAAAGGTTCTCCCTAGCTATTGTTGTTCGTGACCTTCACAACATATCGATCGAATCCTTTCGCAAGCTTTAATGATATGCGATGAAAACAAGTAAAACGAGACATTGGGCAAACATAGTACATTTAAAGACGGGCGAGCCCCCCCCCTCCCCTCTCTGGCCCCTGGGGCATGAACTGCCGAATAGGGTATACGTACACAGATATGCCACTTTCGTTTGCGAGTTCACGGATCATGAAATCGCTACGAGTCACATATTCATGTGCATGCGTGTATTTGCGTGTGTGAGAATATACATACCTTTGTCTTCTCGGCTATCCTGCTACGGATTTCTTCATCGGTTAATGGGGCCTTGAGGAAAAATCAAATAAAAGTAGACATACATAAGTAGTTGCGATCTAAGAAAATCAATTGAATACACCTGGTCTAATACATAATTATGGCAAGCCAAACACATCGCTGTGATACAAGAGGAAAAATATATATATGGTTTGGTACTAGGCATGTATTCACAATCATCGTTGACGATCCCAAACTCCCTACAGTATACTTTAGAATATCTTAGAACCAGAACAAAACTCTCTGTATATGGAATGAACTACAAAGTCAACCGATACATGCCGCATAATCTAATAACATACATATAAGTCGCGATATCTAGTCAACCTGACACACTCTACTCTTTCCCACAACATGCGCATATTTGGTACTGCATGCCCGCATGCATATACCCTGCTTACTCTACAACACATGCATACAAAAAGAATTTACAAAGCATGCACTATATACAGTATATATATATATATATATATATATATATATATATATATACGTACGTGTGTATATTGAAAAACTACTTAAAACCCACTTACCTCGAGACTCCTCCGCTGAACAGCCGCCTCTAGTAGCGTGATGATAGCAGCGCGATCGGCTTTCGCGTCGGGTTTCGCGTTGAACTCGATCTGTTGACTTTTTGCCATTTCTAAAGCCGTTTGTTTTTTCTGAGAGAGTGGGAGAGGTAAGAGTCCGGTTAAAGGCTTTTATAAGCCTGCTGCTGAGCGTGTTGGCGCCTAGGAAATAACAGAAACACATTCAAAATTGTATAGCTGAGAATATGATTCGGCTTCTTAATTGGTTTTAAAGTCGGCAGATGAGTAAAGCATATCCAGCCTCTGAAGAAAAAGCACTATTTTCTTGTATCCATAAATGTACGTAAACTCAGAATACATGAAGCGTTTATTACGGTTCCGAAACTGTACAACACTGCCATTGCACACGGGTTTAACTTGAAACGTCATATATATATATATATATATATATATCTATATATATATATATATATATATATATATATATATATATATATATATATATATATAAACATAAAAAAACAAACATATTTTTATATGCATACATACTTACATTATATTTACACACGCACTCACACACGCGCGCATACAACCCCCTCCACACACACATGCATATATATACATATATATATATATATATATATATATATATAACTGTTCATACCCGGACACGCACAAACACACACACACACACGCATATATATATATAATATAATATATATATAATATAATATATATATATATATATATATATACCTATATACC